AAACAGTGGCCAAATTATTATTATTAATTTTGAAGGGATTATTACCCCCGGGGAAAGCCATCCTCCCATCGACTTACAACCGGGTTCCTACCGACTGCTGGTAAACAGAGCCGCGCGCGCGCGTGTGTGTGTGTGTGTGTGTGTGTGTGCGTGGAGTGAGGAAACTTGCCCAACGTTTCCTCCCGCCCGGGAATCGAACCCGGGTCCTCTCGCTTGCGAGGCGAGTGCTCGAACCACTGAGCTCCGGGGACTCCAGAGGGAGCGGTGTTCTGTGATATCTGGTCTGCCATCTACCAGCTCCACCTGCTGGAACATGGCAAAGTTTCCTTTATTTAGCACAAACTCACGGGCGCTGATCGCCCTTTGACGGACGGACGGACGGGGTGCGTCTGACACCCGTCAGCGTTGCTTGAGAGTCTCCCAAACGACAGGTGACATTCCCGTGGGTCGGAGCAGCAATGGTGAGGGCCCAGTCGCTCGCGGGATTAAAGGCTAAGGATGTGCCGACAACCACAACAACTTGCATTTTACACGGCAATCCTCTCACTGGGCGAAGAGGAAGGTCTTCGGCTGCGACCTGAAGATGAGGGAGGAAGGGGGCTAGGCAGAGGGAAGGATATACAGAGAGAGAGAGAGAGAGAGTTTCGGGGCGTAGCGGCTGAAAGCCCGGCCGCGGACGGTGGAACGGAGGGGGCGAGGGATGGGTGGGGGGGGGGGGTGGTCAAGCAGGAGGCCGGAGCCGGTCACGGAAACGGTGGGTAGACTCCGCGAAAATAAACCAAGGTTAAACTACAGCAACAAATTGCGATGCAAAATCCACATTTATATAGGGTTTCGGAGGGCAAGTCAAAGGGGTTTAAAGGGCCTGGAGTGGGCAAAAGGGGGAAGGGGATTAATGACAACTGTACACAGTAAAATCTCACGCAGGTTTTATCTTTATACGTCTTATCGTGTAAGTCATAAGTGCACCCGAATCAGCTTCCTACCGAAAAACACTTCGATTCCTTCGCACTTCGTATTTTTACGAAGCGAATCATCTCCTAACTCGTAATGCCGCCGTAATAATAATAATAATAATAATAATAATAATGATGTCGCTCCTTATCACATCATTGAGACAACAACAATAACAACAACGACAACGACAGCGACATGAACTTATATACCCAGCTCTCAGAGGCGTCTCGAAGCGCTTCACAAAATATACTGTAAAGTGAATTGACTGTGTACGTTGCTGGACCGAGGTACCCCCTCGCAGTTTAGACTACTGATTAAGTCGGATTTTATACCACTCACGCACGTTTGCCTGCAATAATAGCCATAACAATAAATAAATAATAATAATAGTCCTCGCATTTTTACACCGCGCCTGATCACGTCTTCGAGACGTCTCCAAGCGCTTCGCAGGATACCCCGTAAAGTGTAGTGACTGTGTGTTTTGTGGGTGAAACGCGGCAGCCAATTGCGCACAGCGACGTCCCCGCCAACAGCCGCGGGTTGAAGAAGTGACCGCATTATACGAAACAGACAGATATTTTGCGATGTGGAGGTGTGTGTGTGGGGGTGTGGTGGGGGTGAAGGGGGGATGGGGGTGATGGGGGGGTGAGGGTAGGGATCGAAGAGGAACGAGCTGAAGATGGGGGAGGAAGGGGGCGAGGCGGAGGGATTGAGGGAGAGGGTCTGGAGCCTGCACGGCGGCAAAAGGCAAAAAAGATCTTCGATGAAAACCTTCGTCAACTGGTTCCTGGTTTCGGAGTCTGGAGGACAGGGATGGGTGGAGGAGGAAGAGGAAGAGGAGGGAGCAGAGTGTTTAGACCACGGTGTCAGTTCACAGCGCTCCAAGTCTGGACGCACTCACCTGCAATGCAAACAGTTGGGAAGAAATAGGTTACAAATACTATGTATTTTTGTGGCTGAAACGCTGCAGTCAACAGTGGGTTGAGTCACTACATTTTCCTTGAGGGATTATTCCCTGCCCAGGAAAGCGATTGTATACCCCATACTCGACTCTCCCCCCCCTCCCTCCCCGTCGAAGATTTCAGACCGGTGAACCTTACTCACCCAAACCAGTTGCATCCCCCTCAGGAAGTAACTGGTGCAAACTCTGTTCTGATTGAATCCGTTAAAAGATTTGGTAAAGGGAGAGCAGGGGGGGGGGGGGGGGGGGGGGGCGGGAGAGAGGTGGGAGGAGGGGGCAGAGGGGGAGACGGGGGTGAGAGAGTGGGGGTGGGAGTGGGGTTGTGGGGCGCAGTGGTGGGGGAATGGGGTGAGGATCGTTCCTCCAAATCGCAGGGAAGTGTAGTCCAATCTGTTGATGGGGACAGGAAGGAAATGAGGCGACACAGAATGGCATCGATCAACAAGGGGTGTCCATCTGGCTGTTGGCCACCACTGGGACAGCTCCGTAACTGTCCACGTGGCGTCTCAGCCATCTTCGCTGCACTTCAGACTGCACCTGTCCGGGCACAACAACAACAACAACAGCAGCTTGTACTTATATAGCGTCCCTCCACACAGGGCAGGGTCTCAGAGCACTGACTCCGAGCCGGGGGGTGTGGGTGGGGGGAGGGGGGGAGGTGGGGGAGGTGGGCGTAAGTACGGTCGAAGAGGAAGGTTTTCAGGCGGGACTTGAAAGAGGGGAGAGAGGGGGGGGCAGGTGGAGGGATTGAGGGAGAGCGTTCCAGAATCTCGGGCGTAGCGGCTGAAAGCTGACCGGGTGGTGGATTGGGGGGAGTGAGGAGGTCAGACAGGGAGGGAGGGAGGGGCCGGGGAGTGAAAGGGAATTGAACACGAGAGCGAGAGGATCTTGAAGTGGACCCGTTGGGTGACGGGGAGCCAAGTGGAGCCTGAGCCAGAACTGGTGAGATGTGGGGGACGGAGTTTGTTCCGGGTCAGTATTGCGGGACAATAAACTGGTCCACTTACCTCTTGGTTGAGAAAGCAATACAGGACTCCCACTATGAAACCCTGTACACACAGAGAGAGAGAGAGAGACACAAACTCAGAGCCTCGTCGGGAACAGGAAATTACTGACTGTATCTGGGAGAATATCGGCCAGGACACAGGGAGAAACTCGCTTAACGTCTCATTCAAAGGACGTCACCTCCAGTAATATAGAATTCCACCCCCCCCCTCCCTTCCCCCTTCCCCCCAGCTCTGAACTAGAGCATCAGTTGACGTCCTAAGGCACTGGACAGTCAGGGGTTTGGATCCGAGCAGTGGGTGCGGGGGGGGTGGTGTATGGGAAGGTGGAGGGCTAGGATTGGGACTAGGGCAAGGACGGTCGAAGAGGAGGGTCTTGAGATGTGCCTTGAAGGAGGCAACAGAAGGAGCAAGATTATTACCCCGGGGAAAGCGATCTGAGGCGCGCGCGCGCGTGTGTGTGTGTGTGTGTGTGTGTGTGTGTGTGGAGTGAGGAAACTTGCCCAACTTTTCCTCTGCCCCGGGAATCGAACCCGGGTCCTCTCGCTTGCGAGGCGAGTGCTCTAACCCTGAGCTCCGGGGACTCCACACAGGACCTGTTGCTATGACTGTACCTGAAATGATCCGATGCAGAGATCAAGGTAGAGCTTGACAGCGTGGACGACGTGATCGGGTGGGAAAGCACATATGATGTAGTGCACCCCGAATAGGGGGATCAGGAGCAGAGTGGACTTTACCAGTCGCCTACCGGAGAGGTATTAAAATATAAATTATTATATCAAACAGCAACAACGACAAAATTAGAGTTACACAGGGCCTTGGAGGAGGCGAGGGAGGGGACGAGGCGAAGGGGGCAGAGAAGCTGAAAGCCCGAACGCTGATGGTGGGGCGGGCCGGGCGGGGGGGGGAGACATGAAGCAGGTCGGAGCTTGAACGGAGAGGAGTATCAGGAGTATCACTGAGGTGGGAGGGGTCAAGGCCGTTGAGGGCTTTGAAGGCGGGGATGAGGATGTTGAACTCTATCCTCTGGGGGATGGGGAGCCAGTGGAGCCGGGCGAGGGTGGCCGTGATGGGGGTGATGGGGTGGTGCGGGAGAGGACACGAGCTGCAGAGTTCTGGATGGTCCGCAACCTGTGGAGGGAAGAGCTGGGGAGGCCAAGCTGGGAGTCATCTTGGAACATCAACCCAGGCCTTCGCCTACCTGTACTGGGAGGAGTTGACCATGTGGATCTCCCGAGGGTTAAGCTTCTGGAACAATATCCTGATGATATTGAAAAAGAGCACGAAGTTTACCTGTGGGAGGAAATGGGGAGGAGATTCCCATGAGAACACCTGACTCTGATGAGTACTCTCCCTCAATCCCACGGCCTGGCCCCTTCTCTCCCCATTTTACAATTCCCGATCGAAGACCTACCCTCCCCTTCGACCGCAAGGTCTTTGTACCAGTCAAAGCTCTGATAGTCTGGAACTCCATCCCACAGTCCCTCCTTCTCGCATCCAATCCCCCCCCCTCCCTCGCCACCTTCAAGACCTATCTCAAGACCGTCCTCTTTGACCGTGCTTTCCCCCCCCCCACCCATCCCGACGTGAAAGGCGCTATACAAATGTAATTTTATTGTTGTCGTTGTTATAGTCCAGAACCCCTCTCAACAAACGTAAATAATGTTACCGCAGACTGTAGTATTCTTAGAATCATAGATACTCGCAGCGCAGAAGGATTCCTCCCATTGTGTCTGTGCCATACTCTTCGAAAGAGCCACCCAACCAGTCCCACTCCTCCCGCTCCTACCCCAATAGCCGTTCCTTTTCACATACCTCCCCAATTCCCTTTGGAAAGCTGCTCTCAATTCTGCTTCCACGCCCGCCCCCAACCCCCCCCCCCCCAACCCCCCCACCCCACCCCACCCCACCCTCCAGGCAGTGCGTTCTGACACTATACTGTGTTGAGAGTCTCGGTGTGAAGGGTTTAACAGGCGACCGCTCACCATGACGGAGATGACAATTGGGGCCTTTGTTATCCACCAATACGGAGAATCTTCAATCACATCCCAGCACCTGGTCACAACAGCAGAGACTTAGCAAGGAATCCAGCGTGTCTCTCCATCCCACAGTCCCTCCGCCTCGCTCGCCTCCCCCTCCCTCGCCTCCTTCAAGGCCCTCCTCTTCGACCGCGCCTTCAGTCACCCTTCTATCCCGTGAAGCGTTTTGAGACGTCTCGAAGACGTGATAAGGCGCCGGATCAAATGGCAGGATTGTTATCAGTATTATTATTATTATTATTATACTCACTCAGTGTCTTCGAAGCAAGACTTTGCAATCACCCAACCCGTCAGGCAAACAGCAGGCACACCTCAAAGAAAAGGTACATTTTAACCAAACTCAGAGAGCAATAGAATTCCGTTCCACAGTTAATAATAATAATAATAATAATAATCATTGCATTTGATACAGCGCTTTATTACATTCTTGAGCCGTCTCAAAGGGCTTCACAGAGTAAACAGTAAAGTGAATTGACTGTATATTTTGTGGGCGAAACGCGGCAGCCAATTGCGCACAGCAGCGTCCCCCACAGACAGCCGCGAAAGTGAGTGACTGATCTTATTTGGGGGGGAATTGTCGGCCAGAGCACAGAGGGAAAAAGAAACTCCCTTATCTGGGTCATAGGATTGGTTCGGATCCGGTCTCAACCCTCCCGAATCACTATCCTGTTACATCCCATCATCGAGCTGCTTCTTAAATAAGTCCCTGCGTCCGTGAGAGAGAATAGTGGGGTGGGGGGGGGGGGGAAAGGGACCAAGAAAGTGGGAGGGCGGAGTGTGGTGGAAGGGGAAGGGACCAAGGAACGGAGGTGGAAAGGGTGGGAAAGGGGGAAAGAGGGGAGGAAGGGAAGGAGGGAGTGGGGGGGGGGGGGTGTGTGTGGGTGTGGGGAAGGGGGCATATCAATACTTACCCCAACCAAGCACGCTCCACCACCAGAAGTATTTCTGCTGTGCGTGAAGGAGGCCAGGAGGAGGGAGTTGAGGTACAGCCCCTCCACAAGCAGCCAGAAGTGATTGGCCATGACACAGAAGTAGCAGAACACCACCGAGGTCTTGCAGCCGGCCTGGGGGTGGGAGGCAAAGGTGTCAAACACGGTCCTTGTAATCCTTGCGTTCGACCCGGCGCCTCGTCGCGCCTTCGAGACGCCTCAAAAGCGCTTCACAGGATAACACGGCCAAGTGTAGTGACTGCGTGTTCTCTGGGCGAAACGCGGCAGCCGATTGCCGTATTCCCCACAAACAGCCATGGGTTGAAGCGACCGATTTACTATTTTCATTTCAAGGGATTATTATTATTATCGTCCCTTGAGGGACGGGCAGGAGCCGGGGCCAGTCGAGCAGAGGCGCTGACCGGGTGGTGGATTGGGGGGAGGGAGGGAGGAAAGGAGGGAGGGAGGGAGGGTCCAGGGAGTGAAGGGTTTTGAACCCGAGTATGAGAAGGACGTCCCAAAGCACTAGGACTGGGGTGGTGAGGAGGAGATGAGGGGAGGGGAGATCTCAAGACACGAGGCTTGAACCCGCCACCCGGTGACTCAGGAGGTGAGGGCGGTACCAAACCGTTACCGTAGAAAACGTGCAGTGGTCAATGTCCCCATCGCCAAAGAGAACAGCGTCCTTAACGAACACGGAGACGCCGCGCAGGATGAAGGTGATGAAGAGCTGGATGTGGATGTAATTTCTCGTGCAGTGCAATCTCCTGCATGATCCGGAGACACAGAGACACGGGTAATCCTGGCATTCGATAACAACAGCAGCAACAACAACAACAACAACTTGCATTTATTACATCTGCTCTCGCTGCTGGGGTCTAACCAGCTAAACCCACAGGGCTTGGCCGACGAGGGCGCTGTCTGGCCAAGCTCTCCCGCTGCTTGTCCAGCGAGGACCACCCGACCACCCGTTAGTCAGGGCTTTGGCTCGGAGGGTGAACCAGGACCAACTCACCTGAATAGCAGTAAGATGATGACAGCCGCCGTGAGCACGAGCAGAGACGCAGAGTGTCCCACTGTGTAGATCACCTTTATCGTCCCAAAGTAGGAGACCTGCAATAGTGACAACAACAACAATATTTGGCTGTGCGACAGCCTGGCTCTCGCTCTCGCTCTCGCTCTCTCTCTCTCTCTCTTTCGTCTCTGAGTCAGAAGGTTGTGGGGCGGGGGGGGGGGTTTCAAGTTTTTTTTTGTTTACTCAACTAAAACAATTTATTTTTGATTTACGAATGAAAACTATTTTTTTAACTTATGAATTAAAACGTGGACATTATTTATTTATTTATTGATTGATTGATTAATCAATTTAGGAACGAAAACTACTTGAAACCTTTCTCCCTGTGTCACAGACTCACTCGCATCGCTGCGCACCCCAACCAAACACACCAGATAATCCACGGTGGTAGTGTGTCCCGTGAAGTGCTTTGAGATATAATCACGTGCGAAGGGTTATTATTATGATTATTGTTATCATTATTAGTGAGGTGTTACCTTATGGAGTTGCTATATCCATTGCGAGAATAATAAGGATGATACTCCTTGCGGTTGGTAGAGCGCCTTTCATGTCGGGAGGACGTCTCAAAGCGCTTCACGAGGATTTTTTTTCGTGAAGTGTAGTGACTGAATTTGCCGCGACCAAAAACTCCCTTCTCGTTTCGAACAGGAGATCTTTAAGGGGACGTGTGGTGGAGTGTGGGTGGTAGTGGTGGGAAGAAAGGAGGTCGGAGGGAAAGAGAGAGAGAAGGAGGGAGGGAGGGAAGGGAGGGAGGGGGGGGCCACGAAGGGATGTGTAGACGTGTGTGAGGGTCTTACCTCATCAGTGGGCAGATCATCGTCCACGATGCAGGCGGAGAGATACGCCGGGAAGACCTTGGACCAGCCCCTGCGGGTGCAGTTCCTGCTGACGGACCCTTGCGAGCCGCAAGAAAAAGAACTGACATAGCTTCTAAAAGGCGACGGGTGGTTTGTGGTGCGGTGGCCCTCGGAACTGTCTGAGTAACTGGACCGCGGACCCGATATACCATTCGACAACGCGCTTCACAGAACATACTGCGACGTGTAGTGACTGTGCATTTTTCTGGGCGAAACTCGGCAGCCACTTGCGCCCAGCGGCGTCCGCCACAAACAGCCGTGGATTGAAATGACCAAATTATTATTATTATTATTTTTTTTTTTTTTTGAAGGGGTTATTGTTAACCCCCGGAACAGCGATCCGCCAAATGACTAACAACCGGGTTCCTACACAGAGCCGTGTGTGTGTGTGCGTGTGTGTGCGCGTGTATGTGCGCGTGTGTGTGTGTGCGTGTGTGTGTGTGGCGCGCGTGGCGTAAGGAAACTTGCCTCAGGTTTCACGCTGCTCTAACCAACTCGCTTCCATATCAAGCCTGAAGGTTAACAGAAACCTTTTATTGCTCAGGGCTTTACAGATTTAATGTAATCCCTCTCCAAAAGGTTATTTATTATGATCCAGGACAGATGGTCACACAGTGAGCAAATACATAAAGTTATTTACAATTCACTGTTAAGTGCTATTGGCGTGAGATATTAAAGCCATCAAAGGCAATGGCTGTTTAACAGGTAATTTACCTCTTTAAATAGCTTGCCATCCCTGTCACCCAGACTCATTCAGATCCCTTTATAAATGCAATGGAAATTCCTGTGATGGTGAGGGGCCGCGGTATCCCAGGGCACTCACGGCTGACGGCAGCTCAGCCCGGCCCTGACCCATCCATCGGCAGGACCTGGAAGGGCCGACCGGTCACCGGGGGCAGGAAATCCTCCCCCTCGGCTCCTGGTAACCCCGGAGCCAAAGCCCTGACTAACTAACTAACTAACTAACTAACTAACGGGGAGGGTGGTCCCAGCCCGTCAAGCAGCGGGAAAGCTGGCCGGACAAGCCATGCTGGTTAGACTCCAGCCGTTACCCACCACCAACCCACACTCTGGATTCCCCCCCTCACCCCACAAGCCTTGGCTCTCGCCAACCTGCGCCTAATACTCTCCGGAATTAGGTAAACAGGGGGGCGTCCCTCCAGGAGAGAGAGAGAGAGAGAGAGAGAGAGAGCGCATTCCATATCCAGGTTTCTACGTGTAGGCGATGCCCGGGGGTGGAGGTCTCAGACTGCCTTGGGAGACTCTGAAGCCACGGTGGTGGGTTTCCTCGTGTTGGGTCAGACACCCGGTTGAGCAGATGTATATTTTTTTTACCTGTGTTGGCGGTGAAGTGGGAGAAGATAGCCGGGCAGGAGACATTAACTGTTGCCCCACGAGGAGCATGAGGCCAGCACACCACTCCGTCCCATAGCTTCCTACAACCTGGAGAAACACAAGAGGCAACGCAAGTTACATTGATATACAGCGTTCTTCACCTCGCGCGATTAGTAATAATAATAATAATAACCCTTCCAATTGATACAGCCCCTCATCACGCCTTCGACACGTCTCAAAGCGCTTCGCGGGATACACCGTAAAGTGACTGTGCGTTTTGTGGGTGAAACGCGGCAGCCAATTGCCCACAGCAGCGTCTCCTCCCCCCCCCCCACACACACACACACACAGAAACACACAAACCGTGGTGGATTGAGTGACCAAAGCAGAGTGGAAGTCTCAAAATGCTTCACGTGTCCTGGGCAGGTGGTTGGAGAAGAGGGGACAGGTTTTCAGTCCTTCTGCCCCTCTGTATCGACCGTACATACGGTCAACTCCGCTTTCCTTTCCCCCCCCCCCCCAAACTACCCCACCACGGCTCGGAGTCGCTGTTCATCGCTCCGAGACGTTGCCTCGCATAAAGAGCGCTGTGTAAATTGTTGTGGCAAGTTGTCGTGTGTTGGCTATAACTGCATCCTGGATTCCTCCAACTCCCTCCCCTCAACACTCCTTCCTATGTACGTCTCAATGATGTGAAAAGGCGCTGTACTAAATGCAAGGATGATTGTTATTATTATTATTATTATTATTATTATAAGGCAGCAGCCAGTTTTGCCCACAGAGAGCCATGGAGTGAACAACCAATAATTATTTGAGTGGGTGGGGGGGTGGGAGATGGTTTGTTGAACAGGACACAATTAACGGGCGAGTGGGAGGGAGGAGGGGGGGGGGCTGCGGAGGGGCAATGAATAAGTCAGGATGTTAAGCTGTTAATTTTACTGGGTCAAAACCGCGGTCTTTAAGGAAGTTAAAAGCTGAACGGAGGAGGCAATAAACTTCATGAGGGTTTTGAAACGCCACTTTTTGGGGGAATTAAAAGCTCGTTTGTGAAGCGCTATTAATTTAATTGGGCTTCGAAGTGCTTTTTCGGGGTGGGGGGGGTTTAACCGGTCACGAGCAGTGTGACGTGTGGTTTAAAGAGTTGCCTACCTTGCACGGATGTATTCCGATTGTCTCGAATGCCTCTTAAGCACTTGTCCTGGTTACGCTTCAACCCCTTGACGATCTCACACTCTGGGTGCAGAATGCTGTTCACCTGAAAGAGCGGAAGAGCACTCCGGGTCACCACCAATAATAATATTAATCCTCGCCTTTGACACAGCGACTGATCGCGTCTTAGAGACGCCTCAAAGCGCTTCACAGGGTGCACTGTTAAGTTAATTGACTGCACGTTTTGTGGGCAAACCGCGGCGGCCAATTGCGCGCGGCAGCGCCCCCCACAAACAGCCGTGGATTGAGTGACCGATTTATTATTATTTTTTAAAGCAATTATTATCCCCGGAAAAGCCATCCGCCCGTCGACTAACAACCGGGTTCCTACTGACTGCCGGTAACCAGAGGCGCGCGTGTGTGTGTGCGCGTGTGTGTGTGTGTGTGTGTGTGCGTGTGAGTGTGTGTGTGTGTGTGTGGAGTGAGGAAACTTGCCCAATCTGCCCAGAGAGTGAGTTGGAGTAACTGCTGGAGTCGAACCAGCCAAACCCACACGCAGCTCGGCCATTTGGAGCTCTGTCTGGCATTTTTTTCGCCGCTGCTCGTCCAGGTGTATTTGTGGTGTTTCTTCCACAACTGTACAGTCAATTCACTTTCTACAGTATATTCTGAAGCGCTTTGAGACGTCTCGAAGACGTGATAAGGCGCTAAATCAAACGCAGCGATTATTATTATTATTATTATTAAAACATCTCAAATTAAGGATTTCAAATAAACCCCCAAAAATTCTGCGCAACTTTAAGTATTCAGACCACGGCGTTCGGATTTTTAAAAAAAAAAGCACTTCAAAGAACCCGCTGTAAAGTGAACTGTCTGTCAAATACGAAAAAGAAAAAGAAACCGAAAGAGTGAGAGAGAGAAAGAGAGAGAGAGGGATAGAGAGAAAGGGAAATAAACAACGAGAGAGAGAAAAAGGGGGCAGGTTAAGTTGTGGAGTAACCAAAACTGAGATTGAATCCCGAAATAATAATAATAATAATAATAATAATAATCCTTGCATTTGATGTCTCAAAGCGCTTCACAGAATATACTGTCAAGTGTAGTGACTGTGTGTCTTGTGGGCGAAACGCGGCAGCCAATTGCGCACAGCAGCGTCCCCGCAAACAGCCGCGGGTTGAAGTGACCAACTTATTATTATTTTGTCTCTCTCAGAGAGACAGAGAGAGAGACAGAGAGAGAGACAGAGAGAGAGCCAGAGAGAGAGATCCTGAGGGTAGGAATGGATCAAGGATTTTTTGGGGGGGCATTCCTGACCGTAAAAGAGGAACTTACTCACCTGAGTGGGTGAGTGAGGCACGAAGAGACGCAGAGACGGTGTTTAGGGTGTGGGGGATGGGGGGGGGGGCGAGGGGGACAGGGGTGGGAGGTGGGAGTGGGAGTGCGTTGGGGGTGGGGGGAAGTTAGCAGAGTCGCGGTCCGGACACTGTAAAGGTCATTATGTTGTACTTACTCCGAAAACGAACAAACTGCACAACGTCCAGCTCAGTCCGACGGAGATCATTCCGTTGCGAGCGAGCGAGCGAGCGAGCGAGCGAGCGAGAGCGAGAGGGAGAGGGGGAGAGAGGGGGCGAGAGGGGAATCAGCCTCGCTCTTTAACCCATCACAACCCCACCCTGACCCTGACTCTGACTCTGACCCTCACCCCTGACCTGCTCTCACCCAACGCAACCTCGTCTAACCCAGTCGGACTCACTCCAATCCACCCCAACCCACACACACCCACCAACGCGCCCACCCACCCACCCACCCCCACCCACACACATACACTCTGCTTCGGGCTCTGTTATACTCAGTGGGCGGTGATGGGAAGGTAGACGGAACCCTTACCCATACGCTCTCACACACACACACACACACAAGCGGAACCACCTACTTCCCAATAAACGTGAAACAACAGCTTATAAAGATGTCAAGCGCAGCGAGAGAGGGAGGGAGGGAGAGAGCGAGGGGGAGAGCGAGGGGGAGAGGGAGAGAGAGAGAGAGGGGGGAGAGAGAGGTGGCCTTAACCTGTGACCTCGCCCAGGTACTGACTTGACCGGAAAATGGGGTCACCTTAGCGTAAACTTTCTATCCGAGAGTGAGACTGAGAGGGAGAGAGAGAGAGACTGAGAGGGGGAGAGAGAGAGAGAGAGAGAGAGACTGAGAGAGAGCTTAACCCTCGGGAGATCCACATGGTCAACTCCTCCCAGTACAGGTAGGCGAAGGCCTGGGTTGATGTTCCAAGATGACTCCCAGCTTGGCGGCCTCCCCAGCTCTTCCCTCCACAGGTTGCGGACCATCCAGAACTCTGCAGCTCGTGTCCTCTCCCGCACCACCCCCCATCACCCCATCACGGCCACCCTCGCCCGGCTCCACTGGCTTCCCCATCCCCCAGAGGATAGAGTTTCAACATCCTCATCCCCGCCTTCAAAGCCCTCAACGGCCTTGACCCCTCCCACCTCAGTGATACTCCTGATACTCCTCTCCGTTCAAGCTCCGACCTGCTTCATGTCTCCCCCCCCCGCCCGGCCCGCCCCACCATCAGCGTTCGGGCTTTCAGCTTCTCTGCCCCCTTCGCCTCGTCCCCTCCCTCGCCTCCTCCAAGGCCCTGTGTAACTCTAATTTTGTCGTTGTTGCTGTTTGATATAATAATTGATATTTTAATACCTCTCCGGTAGGCGACTGGTAAAGTCCACTCTGCTCCTGATCCCCCTATTCGGGGTGCACTACATCATATGTGCTTTCCCACCCGATCACGTCGTCCACGCTGTCAAGCTCTACCTTGATCTCTGCATCGGATCATTTCAGGTACAGTCATAGCAACAGGTCCTGTGTGGAGTCCCCGGAGCTCAGGGGTTAGAGCACTCGCCTCGCAAGCGAGAGGACCCGGGTTCGATTCCCGGGGCAGAGGAAAAGTTGGGCAAGTTTCCTCACTCCACACACACACACACACACACACACACACGCGCGCGCGCGCCTCAGATCGCTTTCCCCGGGGTAATAATCTTGCTCCTTCTGTTGCCTCCTTCAAGGCACATCTCAAGACCCTCCTCTTCGACCGTCCTTGCCCTAGTCCCAATCCTAGCCCTCCACCTTCCCATACACCACCCCCCCCGCACCCACTGCTCGGATCCAAACCCCTGACTGTCCAGTGCCTTAGGACGTCAACTGATGCTCTAGTTCAGAGCTGGGGGGAAGGGGGAAGGGAGGGGGTGGAATTCGACATTACTGGAGGTGACGTCCTTTGAATGAGACGTTAAGCGAGTTTCTCCCTGTGTTCTGGCCGATATTCTCCCAGATACAGTCAGTAATTTCCTGTTCCCGACGAGGCTCTGAGTTTGTGTCTCTCTCTCTCTCTCTCTGTGTACAGGGTTTCATAGTGGGAGTCCTGTATTGCTTTCTCAACCAAGAGGTAAGTGGACCAGTTTATTGTCCCGCAATACTGACCCGGAACAAACTCCGTCCCCCACATCTCACCAGTTCTGGCCCAGGCTCCACTTGGCTCCCCGTCACCCAACGGGTCCACTTCAAGATCCTCTCGCTCTCGTGTTCAATTCCCTTTCATTCCCCGGCCCCTCCCTCCCTCCCTCCCTGTCCGACCTCCTCACTCCCCCCAATCCACCACCCGGTCAGCTTTCAGCCGCTACGCCCGAGATTCTGGAACGCTCTCCCTGAATCCCTCCACCTGCCCCCCCCTCTCTCCCCTCTTTCAAGTCCCGCCTGAAAACCTTCCTCTTCGACCGTACTTACGCCCACCTCCCCCCCTCCCCCCTCCCCCCACCCACACCCCCCGGCTCGGAGTCAGTGCTCTGAGACCCTGCCCTGTGTGGAGGGACGCTATATAAGTACAAGCTGCTGTTGTTGTTGTTGTTGTGCCCGGACAGGTGCAGTCTGAAGTGCAGCGAAGATGGCTGAGACGCCACGTGGACAGTTACGGAGCTGTCCCAGTGGTGGCCAACAGCCAGATGGACACCCCTTGTTGATCGATGCCATTCTGTGTCGCCTCATTTCCTTCCTGTCCCATCAACAGATTGGACTACACTTCCCTGCGATTTGGAGGAACGATCCTCACCCCATTCCCCCACCACTGCGCCCCACAACCCCACTCCCACCCCACTCTCTCACCCCCGTCTCCCCCTCTGCCCCTCCTCCCACCTCTCTCCCCCCCCCCCCCCCCCCCCCCCCCCTCTCTCCCTTTACCAAATCTTTTAACGGATTCAATCAGAACAGAGTTTGCACCAGTTACTTCCTGAGGGGGATGCAACTGGTTTGGGTGAGTAAGGTTCACCGGTCTGAAATCTTCGACGGGGAGGGAGGGGGGGGAGGGTCGAGTATGGGGTATACAATCGCTTTCCTGGGCAGGGAATAATCCCTCAAGGAAAATGTAGTGACTCAACCCACTGTTGACTGCAGCGTTTCAGCCACAAAAATACATAGTATTTGTAACCTATTTCTTCCCAACTGTTTGCATTGCAGGTGAGTGCGTCCAGACTTGGAGCGCTGTGAACTGACACCGTGGTCTAAACACTCTGCTCCCTCCTCTTCCTCTTCCTCCTCCACCCATCCCTGTCCTCCAGACTCCGAAACCAGGAACCAGTTGACGAAGGTTTTCATCGAAGATCTTTTTTGCCTTTTGCCGCCGTGCAGGCTCCAGACCCTCTCCCTCAATCCCTCCGCCTCGCCCCCTTCCTCCCCCATCTTCAGCTCGTTCCTCTTCGATCCCTACCCTCACCCCCCCATCACCCCCATCCCCCCTTCACCCCCACCACACCCCCCACACACACACCTCCACATCGCAAAATATCTGTCTGTTTCGTATAATGCGGTCACTTCTTCAACCCGCGGCTGTTGGCGGGGACGTCGCTGTGCGCAATTGGCTGCCGCGTTTCACCCACAAAACACAAAGTCACTGCAGTTTAGTGTATCCTGCGAAGCGCTTTGAGACGTCTCGAAGACGTGATCAGGCGCGGTGTAAAAATGCGAGGACTATTATTATTATTTATTTATTGTTATGGCTATTATTGCAGGCAAACGTGCGTGAGTGGTATAAAATCCGACTTAATCAGTAGTCTAAACTGCGAGGGGGTACCTCGGTCCAGCAACGTACACAGTCAATTCACTTTACAGTATATTTTGTGAAGCGCTTCGAGACGCCTCTGAGAGCTGGGTATATAAGTTCATGTCGCTGTCGTTGTTGTTATTGTTATTGTTGTTGTCTCAATGATGTGATAAGGAGCGACATCATTATTATTATTATTATTATTATTATAATAATAATAAAGGTGAGCGCACCTTTGTCAAATCCGGCTTAACGGTCCACCGACAAATCTGGCTGGACCTCCTCAAAATTTACCGCTCCACTCTAGCCTCGGCCAAGTCGTCCTTCTACTCCAGGATAATCCTGGAGGCGAAGAACAACCCCAGGCTACTGTTTTCCACCACATCCCGACTCCTCCGTCCCCCCCGCCACCCCGCGCAGGTCATCTCCTCCAACCTTCACTGCGAGGAGATGCTGGATTTCCTTGAATCCAAGATCAAGGGAATCCGCTCCGCGGTCACTTCCCCTCCAACTTCCACCCACCACCCACCCCTTCCCTCCCACACTCCGACTCCTACCCATCCTCCCCTACACACCTTCGTACCCGTTTCCCCACCCTCTGTCACTGAACTCATCCTATCCCTAAAACCAACCACCTGCTCCCTTGACCCCATCCCCACTCCACTCCTTATCTCCCAGCTCCATTTTCTTGTCCCACACATCACTGACATCATAAACCTGTCCCTCTCCTCTGGCTCTGTCCCCATTCCATTAAAAACTGCCATCATCACGCCCACCCTGAAAAAACCCTCCCTTGATGCGTCGCAGCTATCAAGCTACCGGCCCATCTCCAACCTCCCCTTTCTCTCCAAGGTCTTGGAAAGAGTTGTCGCCTCCCAACTGCGCTCTTTCCTCTCCACCCATTCTCTTTTTGAACCCCTTCAGTCAGGTTTCCGTGCTGCTCATAGCACAGAAACTGCCCTGGTCAAGGTCACCAATGATATCCTGACCATCTGTGACCAGGGCTCCCTCTGTCTCCTCGTCCTCCTCGACCTATCGGCAGCATTCGATACGGTCGACCACACTATCCTACTCCACCGCTTGTCCTCCCACCTCAACTTTCAAGGCACTGTCCTTGAATGGTTTAGGTCGTACCTTTCTCACCGTCTTCACTTCGTCTCAACGAATGGCTTCTCCTCCACCCCCCGTACTGTCTCATGTGGTGTCCCTCAGGGCTCTGTCCTCGGTCCCCTCCTCTTCACCCTCTATATGCTCCCCCTTGGTGACATCATCCGCAAACATGGGGTTAACTTCCACATGTATGCGGATGACACCCAACTCTACCTTTCCTCCTCTACTCTCAACTCCACGACCACCGATGTCCTGACAGCCTGCCTGTCCGACATCGAGTCCTGGACGAGAGACAACTTTCTTCAGCTCAACGTGCAAAAAACCGAGGCCCTCCTGATTGGCTCACGTCAGCGCCTCCGCACCTCAGGCGCTGACACCATCAGCATCCAAGGCTGCACTCTCCACCTCTCAAAGCCAGTCAGGAACCTCGGCGTTTTGTTCGACCCTGAGCTGTCCTTTCTCCCTCACATCCGCACCACAACTGGCACCGCCTTCCATCACCTCCGGAACATCGCCAGACTACGGCACTACCTCACCCCTCACGCTGCTGAAACCCTGGTTCACGCCTTTGTCACCTCAAGGCTGGACTATGGGAACTCTCTCCTCGCCGGCCTTCCCGCCACCTCCCTCCACAAGCTGCAGGTCATTCAGAACTCTGCAGCTCGTGTACTTTCCCGCACCAGGCTTCGGGACCACATCACTCCCACCCTCGCTCGCCTCCACTGGCTCCCCATCCCCCAGAGGATTGATTTCAAGATCCTCATCCTCACCTACAAGGCCATTCACGGCCTTGCTCCCTCCTACCTCTCCAACCTACTATCCCCCTACCTACCTGCCCGTACCCTCCGTTCCTCTGGCTCCGGTCTGCTCCACGTCCCCCGCCCCAACCGCCCTACTATCGGTGGTCGGGCCTTCAGCCTCTCAGCCCCGAGGCTCTGGAACTCCATCCCCCAGTGCCTTCGCCTTGCTTCCTCCCTTTCCTCCTTCAAGGCCGGTCTCAAAACCTTTCTCTTTGACCGTGCCTTCAGCTCCCCTCTCGACTCTCTTCCTCCTCCTCGCTCCCTCCCTTCCCTCCCCTCACCCTGACCATTTCCCCCTCCTCTCTCCCTCCCTTCCCTCCCCTCACCCTGACCATTTCCCCCCTGCTCGGGTCATGACCCAACTGTGCAGCGCCTTGGGACGTCCTCCTGACGTGAAAGGCGCTCTATAAATGGAATCTTGTTGTTGTTGTTGTTGTTGTTATTATTACGGCGGCATTACGAGTTAGGAGATGATTCGCTTCGTAAAAATACGAAGTGCGAAGGAATCGAAGTGTTTTTCGGTAGGAAGCTGATTCGGGTGCACTTATGACTTACACGATAAGACGTATAAAGATAAAACCTGCGTGAGATTTTACTGTGTACAGTTGTCATTAATCCCCTTCCCCCTTTTGCCCACTCCAGGCCTTTTAAACCCCTTTGACTTGCCCTCCGAAACCCTATATAAATGTGGATTTTGCATCGCAATTTGTTGCTGTAGTTTAACCTTGGTTTATTTTCGCGGAGTCTACCCACCGTTTCCGTGACCGGCTCCGGCCTCCTGCTTGACCCCCCCCCCACCCATCCCTCGCCCCCTCCGTTCCACCGTCCGCGGCCGGGCTTTCAGCCGCTATGCCCCGAAACTCTCTCTCTCTCTCTCTCTCTGTATATCCTTCCCTCTGCCTCGCCCCCTTCCTCCCTCATCTTCAGGTCGCACCCGAAGACCTTCCTCTTCGCCCAGTGAGAGGATTGCCGTGTAAAATGCAAGTTGTTGTGGTTGTCGGCACATCCTTAGCCTTTAATCCCGCGAGCGACTGGGCCCTCACCATTGCTGCTCCGACCCACGGGAATGTCACCTGTCGTTTGGGAGACTCTCAAGCAACGCTGACGGGTGTCAGACGCACCCCGTCCGTCCGTCCGTCAAAGGGCGATCAGCGCCCGTGAGTTTGTGCTAAATAAAGGAAACTTTGCCATGTTCCAGCAGGTGGAGCTGGTAGATGGCAGACCAGATATCACAGAACACCGCTCCCTCTGGAGTCCCCGGAGCTCAGTGGTTCGAGCACTCGCCTCGCAAGCGAGAGGACCCGAGTTCGATTCCCGGGCGGGAGGAAACGTTGGGCAAGTTTCCTCACTCCACGCACACACACACACACACACACACACACGCGCGCGCGCGGCTCTGTTTACCAGCAGTCGGTAGGAACCCGGTTGTAAGTCGATGGGAGGATGGCTTTCCCCGGGGGTAATAATCCCTTCAAAATTAATAATAATAATTTGGCCACTGTTTGTGGGGACGCTGCTGTGCGCGATTGGCTGCCGCGTTCGGCCCACAAAATACCCAGCAAATCCACTCATTACGACGCACTGTACCCCAACGCGTGTTGGTCACCTTCCTGGCTCGACCGTTCCAACGCCCTCCTTGACCCTCTCCCCAGCCCCACCAGCCACACACCGCCGCCCGCATAACTCCACCCGCCCGAAACTCCGTACCCCCATCGCCCCAGTCCCCGCCAGCCTCCACCGGCTCCCAAGGACCCCTTTCAAGATCCTCACACTCGGCCTCAAATCCCTTCACCTCCCCACCTCTCCCACCTTGACTCACTCCCCAACTCCCCGTGGATTGCGCGAGGAGCTTTGGGACGTCTCCAGGGACGTTATTGTTATTGCTCTTGATCGCTGGCCCCCTCGGCTCCTGCCGGCCCACCAAGAACCCCCCCCCACGGTGCGTTTCGAGCGCGGCTGAGGTGCAGAGGGAGCTCGGAGCTGAGCCGAGCTGAGAGCTTAGTCAGCCTGGGGT